GCGGCAGACAAGCACCCACACATCGGTCCGACGTAACGTCAACACACAACTTCCCGTTCAGCGCTGACAGCATTCAGTGTGCTCCTCGCTGCCGTTTGGAGCGAGCGTTTGCTTAGGTGTGTTTGACAGTGACTTTGATTGCTTGTTAACGGTTCATATTTTATGAATGCGGTACTGAAGGTAAATATGGGCATCTATTTACCGACAGTGTCGCAGTCATCCAATATGAACCGTTGACAGGCATCACGTGATTCATCATCATCAAGTGCACCGTTGGTCAGTCGTGTTATTGTGTCATACACACAGTGGTACCTTACAAGTTTAATTGATCGTTCAATTACATCCAAAATACCGTTAATCTCTTGCTTCCACCCGAAAACATACAAGCTCAGTTTCTGTGACAAATCTGTTCTGGAAAGTTGCATCAAAATCAAATTGAATAAAAACCAAAGTAACATTTCCTATTAGAAATCATGTAAATTCAATTATTCCATTCCAGAGTATGGAATCGAGACACGTTAACTGGTTTGTTCTTGTTTCTTGACTATGACTGCTAAATAAGCCACCAACCATCTGACCAAAGAAGGTTTGGTTCGGCTGCGTTCAGACGACAGAAAAATGTGACCCAAATTAGATTTTTTTTTTTTGTCCATCTGTGACCTGTATCTGATTTTGTTTTTGTTTTTTGATCGTCTGAACTGCTCAATTCAGATTTTTTTTTTCAAATCCGACTTGGGTCACTTTCATATGTGGTCCTAGATCTGATACATTTCAGATTTTTTTGCACTGTGACCTCAGTCTGAACGGATATGTGTTCAACCTGTACGCCATCGAAAGCCCGATATGCGCAAGGAGGAGTGCTTGCGAGGGAAAATGATACTTGTCTGTGAATCTGCCGTTCTTTTAGTCGTAATTTAGCCACGCGGACGGTTCATTTATTACGCGTGGCAATGAGGTGATGTCATCTTCAGTCGACGTCTCCATGATATGAAGGGATCGAAAAGGCTTGCCTCATTTCCCCCAAAATATTTCTACCTCCTCCCGCATTGCTCCTTTTTATATATTAGATGCGACAAGGGACCACATTTATCGTGTGACATCATCTTTTGTGGGGGCCACTCATGGACTATCAATAGGCCCCTCTCAGTTCAAGCCAGAGGACAGCCATCTTACGTTGCCACTGACAACCTCTGTTTTTTTTTTGGGCTGACAACACCGTTGTCAATGCATTTTTTATGATCGGATCACTTCATGGAGTAATGTTAGCCTCTCAAAGAACAAACTTCACTGTTTGCTTAGACCATTCACAGTATATTAATCCAGGAGCATGAATCATGATTTACAGAGATTATATTTCCATATCGCAGGAGTTTATTTCCTGATGGGCTTGGCTTTCATTTCATTGTTAATTGCTTCTGACAACATGATACAGTCAAATCCTTGAGAGAGAGAGCGTTTTGAATTTAGTTTTTTTCCCCATGAAATGTGCGTATCGTGCTTCTCCCACACTGTATGCCATATACGTGGCACACCCCTAATACTGGGCATCGTTAGGCTATGAAAAAAGTACAAAACAATCCTTTGTATTGTACTTGGTGTTTTGAGACCATGAAAAAGTACTTCAATGCGACGGCCAATCGGTTCCAACTGATAGAGCCCTACCCCCAATTAGTCCATTAAATCAAAGTTCCACTGTATACATGTTGTTCTGAGAAACTGTATGACCACCTTCCCGTGGGAGGAATTCTATTATTCTTTTTTTAGGGGGGAAAAAGAAAAAAATCCAATAAATGGAGGTGCTCTAATCTCTGCCGCTGGAGCAGACACACATTGGCACATTTCATTTATTTTCTGCCGGGTTTCTTCCGATAAGAGCGCTCCATGTGTTCATTTAATGGGAAATCAAGCCTGAGACCTCCCAGTTTGAAACAAACGAGCAAGGCGAATCACCGCAAACATCAGCCCGTGTCATCGTCGGTAATTTCACGTGCAAATGGAACATTTAAATGGAAATATGCAAATGAGGAGGGGAAGAAGATACACCGAAACCGAACGCCTTCTTTTAAGTCGACCAATGTGAAGATGTTAATGTTCTATCTTAATTAGCCCCGCTACATTCTTGGAGGCCCTTCTGTTTTTGAATGTTAATAACTTTGTGTGCCCAAATTCATTCAAACCGCCATCCTCGCAAATGACAGACAAGAGGAAGAGGGCACCGTCGCTGTCTATTAATCAGCATCTGCTGAATAAAACAGTTGAAACGAAATGGGCCGGCCAGCGCAATTAATGGGCTTCGACGCTTCAAATTTGCATTACGGACCCCTTACGGTGATCTTACGGGATCTGTGCATGCTCTGACTTGCCTAGAGAGAGCATGCCAGATTTTAAAACCAGAATGCCGTGCACAAGTAGAATAGCAGGCAACGTGTTGAATCTTTGGCTCTTGTCTACGCCCCTCCTGGGAAATCACTCGGAATAAAATTAGACCTGAGACATTCTGTACGCGAGTGTGTGTTGGTCTGGAGTGTATGTCAAAAAGCTCTTGTTATACGACGGATGAGATCCTCTCTGCTTATTGCTGCTCTCCTCTTTCCCCTTTTTTTTGGAGGATGAGGACATGGTTCACCTTTCTACCTCGAACTCGCAAAGATTAACTCCCAAGACAAAGACAAAGGTGACTTAAGTATGCCGCATGGGGTCTAGAAGGAATTTCTGCCTTCCCTTTGCAGCACAAGCCCCTCACATTTTGGTGAATATTTTATAATGTCTCTTCGTGAGACCGCATTGAAGATTTCACACTTTGCTCGAATGTAGAAAGCTTGTGTCATCAAAATGTTGATTTGCTGTCCCCTCAAAACGAGTAAAATTCAGCCTTTAATGCCTCAAGTGCGGGCAACAAAAGTGAGTACACCCCAAGTGAAAATTCATTTTGTTGATGCATGTGGAGTTATTTTTGTGTAATTTGGTGGGGGTCTGTGCATACCCGCGATTCAAACCCAAGTCCGCTATGCTGCAGAGATGGATGGATGGAAAGATGGATGGATGGATTGAAGGCCATGTGAACCAATTGCTGTTTTTAACAATTGTCGATCGATCGATCGATAATTGTTAAAAGTGAACGGTAAAAAAGAGGAGTGACACGCGCACACGGGACAGAAAGAAACCAAAAGGTTATCTTGTCCTGCCGACTGTTTGTGTCTGTAAATGTTGACTTAAGTATTCTTACTACCAATTTTCTACATTACATTTTAACACAGCACGTTCTTTCAGAAACCTGTCAATCATAAATGACCAGGAATGGCAAATGATAAATACAAATGAATTTAAATGAAACAAATCACCTCATGTTCAAACAAACAACTTAAATTGATCCGACAGACGTCTGCTAGCTCAATGCTACGGTAATGCTAACCCCTTCAAACAACGGAGCAGCAACACATACAAACAGAGCACACAACAATACTCACAGACTTATATTCCCTCTGCGCAACGATTATTAATGTTGCGGACTACTTCTACTTGCTCGTAATGACGTTGCCTCTCTACGAGTTGACCTCAATACTGCCTAGCAGGTCGTAATACAGCAAAGTCACGTCAGTCAAAATGTGGATTGCCTGTCACGCATCTTCTGTGCATTTGTAGTTTTATCATGTATTATATATTGATAATTCCAATGATCTTGTTTCTGCTGAATCAGTGATGGAGGCTATCATAAGTTTTTTTATTTTTTAAACAGTGAAAACATGGACTGGAAAGTACTGTAAGGACAGATTTCGACAGTTGCAGCCGAGACTGGGCTTTCAGAGGAATAGCTCCCCCTTAACATTCCCTCCTCCTTCTAAAGAGACAGACTCGAGAGTGTTTTTGACATATCGCGTGGCCACTTCTACTGCTGCTTCTTGGTACTGGAGCTGCCATAACAGCGGCGCTAACGGCTACGCTACAACTCGGCGGAGTGCCGTCAGGAGATCCGCGGAGATCGACACAAGCTTTCTAGCGTCTATCTAGTGCCCTTCACGAGGTGCTGAGGATAGTCACAGACTCTTCCCACCCTCTTCTGAAATTCTTTAATCCCTTCCCGACGAAATAACCAAATCCTTCATTTATGGACACTATGGCTGACTGATAGCTTAATTACATTTTAACTGTTTGCTAATGAGTTTCCGGTGCTTCCGTTGCACGCGCTGCGCGATTGGATCAAGATGGGAAAGGCCGAATATATTGTACAGTATATAAGGCTGCTCCACACAGTTTTTGTTGCACGCACGCACGGTGTCACTTCGCCTTGCCAACAGTGCACAGATGTACTTTTCTTCTCAGACAATTGTCTTATTGACACAATATATTCACTTTGATGCACATTGCAAATCTAATTTCACTTTATGCGTTATTCATGTGGCCTAAAATCCTTCATGCGCCTCAAAGGGTCGTATGTATCAGAACATAGTGTATAGTAGACAGACTAAATAAGGCAGTCATCATGCATTAATGCGCTTTTTTCTGCCTTTTCTAATATTGATCTTATCGAGAGCTCATGTTTATAATATTGGGGTTTCTAGTCATTGTCAAGATGAAACAAAACACAAGTAGCATCAACAACCAACAACCTACACTGCCATTTCCCAGAGTGACGTGCTTCAACGAGGTGAAATACCATCCCTCAACATGCTCTTCAACCAGCTTGTAAGAAATTCTGCTGAAAAAGAAAATCTGGTGTGATTATTTTTCGCCTGTGGTATTGATTAGCGCGGGTTTGTGGGGAAAAATAGTGATGGAAAAGCAGGAGGACAAACACAAACGAACCAAGACCGTTGAAGAAGGCTGTCTCCATCCTCTTTTTTTTTTTTTTTTTTTTTGTCACAGCTCTGAAGAGGCAATCTTGCATCCGATTGTTTCTTTCCTCCTTGTTTCAGAATAGGTCAAATTCTATGAACAATGCACCTGCCTGAATTTTTTTGTTTGTTGTGTTTCGTAACCTTCTCTATGCCTGTCCCTCGCAGCGCCATCGCCTTGGAGAATCAGCTGGTCGTCCTGGCAACTACCACGGCGGATGCGGGACGTTATCACGTGGAGGCCATCAACGAGATGACGGGCGATAACGTGACCAGTCCCGCTGTCTATTTGAGCATCTCAGGTAAGAAAAAATAAATTAAAAAATCAGGGAAGAAGAGCAAATTTGTTCTTTAACATTTTTAAACTTTCAAAGTGTTCAGTGGTTAGCACTAAGGTTTGGGGTTCAAATCTCAGCTCCAGCTTTCTTGCATTTGCGTCCCCCATGCCCCTCCGGCCCCGGTGTTTGTGCAAGTTTTCTGCGGTATTCCCTCACAGGATACCTCTTTTGGACTGGTCGCCACAACGTCCGTAGATAAATGCTTCGGTTAGTTTAACCCTTTCATGCACCCTGTAACCTGATAACATGATAAGCTGTCCACTGTAGTAACCGCCGTGCATGACAGGGTGAAAGACTTCCATTAAGTTAACATGCATGTTTTAGGAATATGGGAGGAAGCCAAGCCAGAACCTCACCACTGTAAAATGTTAACGATGGGCTGCAAAAGGCATTTTGTAAGTTTTGAGTCTCTTAAAAAAAAAAAAAAAAGTTTAAACTCTAAATGACACTCCTTTTGGGGGGTGGGGTCCGCATTACTTACGGGATTGAAAGTGGGCCTCACAGAATCGCCAGCTTTTCGTGACGTTCCCGGAATCATTTTATCATGCTGGTTTCCCCTAACATCCCTCTTTATCTCTGTGGGAGTGAGATGATAGACTACACCGTCGTCTTGCAAGTCCTTCAGCTGAGACGTTCACTGGAGAGAGAGAGAGAGAGAGAGAGAGAGAGAGAGAGAGAGAGAGAGAGAGAGAGAGAGTGAGAGTGAGGCAGCTAGTAGTGCTCTGTCCCTTGTGGCTGTATAGACTTTTAATTAGATTTTCTTTACGGAGTTGTATCCTTTGGCATCCTTTGTCACATATCCGCACTGACACACACACACACACACACTCACACAAATGGCACCTTGTTATAGCTGTCAGCGTGGAGTGTTCCCTTGGGTGCTTTCAAAGAATTGGTAAGAGGAGCATAGTTAGACTTTACTGATAAGACTGAGGTCGTAAAATGCCTGCTTTTTTTTTTCCTGTGTGTGTGCGTGTTTGTCTCTTTTTATCATCTCGTGTTTTCCCACAGTAAACCTTCCTCTTAGAAATATCCTTTCTTATAAAACAAGCTACCGTTTTTATTGACATTGAGAGAGAAAGGGAGAGAGAGAGAGAGAGAGAGAGAGTTCAGGAAGTAAGTTGGAAAATGTTTTTACTTTCAGAAATGTAATGAGAAATGAAATTGGATGCAAGGATGTCTCTGCTAATAGCATTCAAGCTAGCTTAGTGCTTAGTGTTTCCCCACAGTTGACGCCAAGTGGCAGGGAAAGCATACGGGATGGGAGAAGGTGAAGAATTGCTTTAAAAAAATGCCGCAGACATGATTGAAGCCATTTTCACACTTACGAAGATGTCATTAATATGCCATTGGTCCAGAGAGTCCAAATCTATACCGTCGCATATACGACATCGACCGCACACCCCTACTTTCAACTTTGACGCTCGTCTAGGGCAGAGAAACAGTGGTGCACATTGGAACAAAAAAAAATGCAGAAAGAGGAATTTATTATGAGTTGATAGGCAGAAAAACATATTCTGATTCGTGCCATGAAGTGATTACCTGACACACTTCACACATGACAAATGAATGAGCTTCCTTTTTTATTCATTTATTTATTTTTTATCTCCACCTTCTCTCTTCTGTTAAACAGCCGGCGCAGACGAAGGCACATTTCAGTGCTGTCTGTCAAGCCCCCTTATTTAAAAAAAAAACAAAACAAAACAAAACAAAAATCCATCCATCCATTATCGAAAAAATACAATTCCATAAATGTGCCTGAATAATTTAGACACCTATTTCATATTCTCCCTTTTCTTACTTTGATTCCAACTTGGCGCTGTACAAAGAAGAACAGAAGGAAAGTAAAATTATCAGAGGCAAAACACAAAAAGGAAGTAATGAAGTGAGTCACTGGCACAGAGTGAGAATATCAAATCGGAATCGCTGCTGAGGACTTTAAAATATATATATTTTTTTCTTTGTGCGCACAACTAAACCATTACAGGTGAGAGTGAGAGAGAGAGAGTCTGCTTGTCATAATCTTGCTCCCTCATGATGGCCAGTCCGAATCATTTGCCTAATCTGCAGTGCCTTTTAGATGGCGGCGTACGGCCGGCCACATGACCTGCCCACTTGACAGATCCATTATCGCCATGCGCCCATCCGCTTTTCCTGCCAGTGCCCGGTAGACGGCTGAAGATAAAAAAGCGTTAGCTGTCACCCGCGCTCGAGATGGAACAGGCGCAATTGATGGCGGCTCGGCGGCGTGGGTGAGAGGTCACACTATAATCACGGAGAGTACAGCGCTAAAATAAACCGCTCCTGCGCCGCTTTAATGCAGAAGACAATATACGAACGGCCATAAACTTAACAACCTCAGCAACCAAGGCGCCACATTGTACAGCGGGAACCTGTTAGAACAATTTTTCTTATTCTGACTCACCGCTAAAAAATAAAAAATAAATAAATAAACATCAATCGTTGATATAAAAAAGTGACACACTGTTCCTCGGAGGCAAGGTTTTTGTGATACAATAACAATGAGAGCAAAACAAATATTTTCAGAACATGTCGACTGCTGTTTTGAACTGTTCATAATTCCCTCCCCTTTGTCTAAGGCCCCAGTTCCCGCTGAAGAAAATCAAACCCGAAGCTTGAGGCTGCCACCAACACGCTTTACTCTAGCTTTAGTTTTCTTTTGGTGATGAGCAGTGCTGTGTTAGTTCCGAACATACCTTTTGGAATTGTGGCCAAAAAAAGCTGTCGATTGAGTTGTACGGGTTATAGGTGACTTTGCGGTTGGGAACATTTTCGAAATGATTTCTCTGTTTTTTTTTTTTTTTTTTTTAAATCACAAAAAATGGCATTGTGTAGACATTTTGTATATGTCCACTTAAAGTACAGCAAAGAGCAGTACTGGGAACAAATCGAGTACAATGATGGTAAACTTCTCAAGATGTCTGAAATTCTTCAGATTTTTTTTTTTTTTTTTTTTAATTGACCTGCCTTAAAATGTTGTATTTTGTCTTTAAACGTTGCCTTACGTCATTTGGTGCCACAATGACTGGGGCTGGCAGTGACTGTGAATGTCGTTCTGCTACTCTGTGAAGCACATTGAGTTACCTTGTGTACGAAATGCACTCCATGAATAAACCTGCCTTGCCTTGCCTAATATTGTAAAATTAGTTTGACTCCATGTTCAAGTCTTCTGGGATCATAGTTCGGGTATATCCAGGATTTAAACTATAAATATAGTAAAATGTTAACTATTTTGGGGCAAGGGGCATCATCGGATGTTGGCATTGGGGCTTAATTCCGAGAAAGCGAGAGTTCATTACAGAGGTGAGACATCAGCCAAGTTGCAACTGTCATGACAGTGGTGGTAAGTTTGTCCGTTCTCTCACTGGCTTAAATAATACTGTAAGTAAAATAAACATCCGCCCATTTTGTGTACCGCTTATCGCGTTGAGGGCCACAGTGAGTTGGAGTCTTGTTTTGGGCAAAAGGCGTATTACACCCAGCATGTCGATAGACAATATTCAACACTTGCATTTGTACCTGTATGATAGTCACTGAGTGGGAAGTCAGAAGCGGTACCAAATTGAAAGAATGCAAGTTTCTGGTAGCGCGTTTCCTTGCCCCCAACGTGTGGATTTGAAAGTGTTCACGTCTCCAGGCTCGCTCCGCTAGACTCCGGAGTTTATGCCCACGGAGCTGTCAGGAAACAGAACTGTGTTTATATTTCATCTCTGCACAGTGGATCATAACAGCGAGAAATGTTTTTCCGATCTCCTTTATTCCGTCTGGAATCTTCAGTTTGCTACCCGGCGGCTACATGCTCGCCACTCGCTGCTCCTCGGGGAGGGATTAAATGCAAATTTGGGTTGTAAACTTCTCCTACAAGTTCTGCTAGCCTTCTTACAAAATTCGCCTCGTCCAGGGTGCGCCGACCTACCGTCAGCTCAAGCGCGAAAGAAAATGGATGGATAATGCGCGTGTGTTTATGACATGACAGAGAACCACTTCCAAATGCCGAAGGGCGTTTATTTTTCCCGTAAGCGATAAGAGATGAGGCTCTGTAGTCCAATTAATTAAAGTCCACACATACATCCTCTCATTTCTCTTTGATGTACAAGCACACCGACACACCTCCGCCTGTCAATCAAAGGCGCGCCGGCGTAGCCTTCATGTTGGCGCCTTTCCACCCCCTCCCACCCCCCCACCCCTACTTACTTCAGAACAGTGGAAGTCTTTGTAGATTTCTGCTGCAGACCATTAGAGCAAAATATCCCCTGAGAGAGAGAGCGACACACGGTCACATGAAAGACACAAACATGGCAAAGTCGCCAAACCCGAGGCGCTCGCCGTGTCTTGGACGTCATCAAAGACGAAATGAGCGTTTTGGAGAGTAAAGAAACGAGGAGAGGAGGAAAATCCAGTAAACATGGACGGCCATGGAAAAAGAGGTCAGACAGAATGCGGTTCTGGGACCAAGTGGACGAGGTGAGGGAAGTCGGCGCATTGTTGAGACACCAACGCGGGGATCAAACGGCGGAGATAAGGCCGCCGAGAGAAAGACGAGACGAGCTCGTGGCGGAGCCCGGCGATACTTGCTGATACAATTATTATCGCACTTCAAATGCTTTCTCGGCTTCAGCCTCAATAATTGATCGGCCGCCTCCATCTTTCTAGAGCAAAGGCGCGAATGTCACGCTTGTTAAGTATTGCTGAAGTGCAAGAAAAATGCTCAAATTACTCCTCTTCAGACATGCATGTCCTCCAATGGAAAGCAGCTTCAGTTCCTTTGCCCGCCCAAGTCCGATTTTCAACCCGAGCTGCTCAAAATCTACCCAGCGAGTGTGTATGAATCCCACAAAGTAAAACGTCCCACTGCCAATTGATTGGCTGCTTCATGCAGTCCTGCCGGGATGCAGCGACTATCAAGAAAAAAAATAGAGAACAGCTGAAGTTTACTTAGGGTT